AACTTCCGGTTTTTCCGCCCTCCCTTTTCTTCTATGATTTATTTAAAATGTGACAATAAAATTTTTGCATTTACCAAAATACATTTTGTTTGTTTAATTCTTTCGTGTTTTTGTAATAAATTTATTATTATTATTATTTATTTTTTTTAAATAAGAAAATGTCATGTTTAAAACAATAATAATAATAATAATTTTTTTAATTTGGCATTTATATTATTATTATTAATTTTTTTAATAAAACCAATATTCGCTTGATTCTGATGAATTTGTACTGGAATCGTAAAAATAACAGCTGTAAACTGGAGGGGGAAAAAAAAAAATTTTAATATTAACACCCACGCAATATTTTACCGAAAAAAAGAAAAACGTGTTTAACTTATCTGTAATTTTTTTTATTACCTGAAATTGATAGAATTTTGAAACATAACTGTAGGTAACTGAGCATCATTTTGTTTTTCTTTCACAAAATAAAAAAATAAATTTTTTTTTGTTTACGCGACAATTTGTACACAGTCTCACAAAATCACTACTAATTAATTATTACTATTATTATTATTATTACTATAATTTTATTACTTAAAACAATAAAAACACACAAAAAAAATTTTTCTCTCTGTTAATATTTCAAAATGATTCGATGTGAAATTTTCAAAAAAAATTTCGTTTATATATTAAAAAAAAAAAAAATTACCTTGAATTTTGAATTAAACGATACGTAAAAATTATTATTATTATTATTACTATTATCAATTACAAAAATTTGACCTTTTATCAGTTTCACCTTTTTCTAATTGAGGTCTTGGTTGCACTACATGAGACGACAACACCGAAACTAGGTTTCACCTGCGCCTTTTTTTTTTTTCGTTGCTACTCAATTTTCACGCGAATTAAAAAAATTTTTTTTTCTTTATTTATTCGTTGAAACAAACCGGAAATGATTACAATAAATTTTGATATTATTAATAATAATTAATTCGATAAATATTAATCTGATTATTTATAAAATTTTTTAAACATTTTTTTAGTCTTACAATTTTAAAAAATTAAAAAAACGATAATTAAAATAGGTTTTAAAAGAAAAGTGTTTCCGTTTCCCTTTCCGTCGGTGTGATTTTTGACATTTTGGTTATTTTAAGTTACACTCGGTTGATTTTAAATTGTGAATTTGAATTTCGAAATTTAAAAATAAAAACAAATTTCTTAAATTAAGTTTTTAATCGGAAAAAGCAGAAGAAAAAAACTTTTCTTTTTTTTTAAACTTTCTTTAGCCACCAATTCCCACCAATTTACATCATAATCGCGATTTTTTTAAAAAAAATTTTTATATGATTGAGGTGTCATAAACAGGAAACGGAAATGGGAAAAAAAATTTTAATTCATTTTTACGTCACACTTTTATTTATTTGTCGTTTGATCTCTCGTTGCAGTATAATTAATAATTTTTTTTTTCGGGACAAACAAATAGAAACGAATGATAATAATAATAATAATAATATATTACGTAATAAAATATTATTTAAAAAAAAATTAATTACTTTATTTTATTCACGGGTTAAACAAAAATTTGTTTTTTTTTTTTTTTTTTTAAATTACGTGACATGGAAATTAATGGATAACAAACAAACAAACAAACAAAAAATTTTTTATTTTTTTTTGTTTTTATTGGTTTACTAACACGTATTTAATTCCATGTGAATAATAACGTTATTGTGAAAAATTTTTTTGGAAAAACATAATTTTCCCTCCCTCTTCTCCTTTCTTCCCTCCCTCCCGACAAAACAAAACAAAACAAAACAAAAAAATTTTCCGACTTTAAATAACCACAAATTTAAGTTAATTTAACAATTTTTTCGTTTGTTTTAAACAAAAACATTTATTGAAGGAAACATTTTTTAAACTGTAAAAAAAAAAATATGTTTATGTTAATGTTTAAAAACATAAAAAATTATGTTTATGTTGATTGTTGTTGAAGTTGGTTTTCTTTCAGCAAATGAAACGTGAAAAAAAAAAAAAATTTCAAGGAGGTGTCACGATTCCATTTATTAATTAAAACTTATCAAGTTTTCATTCGTGAAAAAAATTTAATAATAATAATAATGATAATAATACTAGGAATTTAATTAAACTTCATAACGCGATTATTTATTTAGTCGAACGACATTGAATAACAAAATTATACATATATATATAAATATATTTAATGAACCTGTCAACTTATCAAAGCGTAAAATTTTTTTTTTTTTTTTTTTTAACAAAATCGCATCTGACAAACATTTAATTTTAATATTTCTCTTATTATTATTATTATTATTATAAATACATTTCGTTTAAGGTATGTCGTTTTTCCTCTAAATGTAAAATAATAATAATAAAATATTTATCATCGAAAGATTGTTCTAGAAATTTTTACAAAAACGATATCATTCATTTAATTGTTTTATAAATAACCCTCGGGTAATGTCGGAAAACCTGTTGATGGTTTATTTTCATTTGATGGTTTACTTGTTCCACTTTGTAGTATATTATTATTATTATTATTATTTCCTGTCGTAATTCCGAGCGAATTTGATTCTTGTGTGTTTTGAAAATTTACACCGGAAGGATATTTCCAAGCTTTGGGAAAAAAAAAAAAAAAAAAAAATCTTTTCTCGAATGATTATTTATTAATATTATTATTTTTTCAAAATGTGTACTTACGCCAACCGAAAGCGTTCGTTTCGTGTGCTTTAACATATAATTGATTTAATATCTGTTGTGCTTTTTTAAAAAATTCACCCAGTGTTTCGCTTACGGCCACTAAAAAGGGTAAAATCCAAGTTTTAGGATTCCACATTTCGCCGGGTGTCGTTGTCGCGGGAATCCAAAGTTTTTCACCGGAAATGATTACGTTGTTATTCTAAACATATAAAAAAAACAATCAAAAATACTCGGGAAATTTTTGTTTAAATTAAAAAAAATTTGACACTTACCAAAAAAATAAAAAATAAAAAGGAAATGTATGCGAAAATCATGTTTAAAAAAAAAAAAATTAATTTTTGTTCTTTTTTTCCCCGTTTAAATTAGATTTTTTTTTTCATTTTGAACTTTTCCTATTATTATTATTATTATTATTAAATTTACTTAAAATTTTTTATTCGATTTATTATTTTTTTTTCTTGTCATTCAATTTTTTACAGTGAAAAAAATTATTTTTTGAATTTTAATGACGTATGAAAAATAAAAAAGAAAATTTTGGTAGTTTTCAAAAACGTTATAATTTATTTGCGACAAGACATGTCGTGTAATTTAAATAAAACGTGTATTAAATATGGAGTTTATTGAAATAAAACGTGTCAAGGTTGATTTTTACAGTCGGAGGAAAATGAAAAAAAAAAAATAAAAAAAAACCTTCAAATTGAAAATTAAATGCACTTCATTGATTTTGAAAAAATAAAATAAACAGGTTACATTTCAACGACAGACAATCGATCAATTTTTTTAAAATAATAATTAATAAAATTTTATTAAAATTATTTTTAGGTCTTCCAGGTGAAAGAGGACCTGTTGGACCACCGGGAAACATAGGACCCAGAGGTTGTATAATTTATTTATTTATTTTTTTAAATAAATTTTTTTTATTTTTACCTCTTTTTTGTATAAATTTTTAGTTTGTTCCCTGTTGTTGTCAATTAAAAAGCAAAAAAAAAAAAATTTGGAACGATCAATCAACGAAAATGAATTTATTAACGTGAGAAGAATTTTTTTTTTATTTACATAAAATATTTTAATTATGATACGGGAAATAATATTAAAATTCATTTTTATAATTAATATAATATTATTTTGCCTGACGATTTACATTCATTTAGTCGTGCAAGATATTTATATTATTTTTTATATATATTCACGTTTTTTAATATTTTTTTACGTTTTTATTTATTTTTATAACGTGGGATTAAATTAATAAAACTTCTTTTTTTTTATTATTAATTATAAAAAAACAATTTTTTATTTTTTTAATAAAAATATTAACGTGCCGATACACAAAATAAAATAAATAAATAATTATTTAGCGTCATGTAATCTCCTTAATATTATTATTATCATTATTATTATTATTTAATTAGAAATTTTTTTAATTGGGTTTCATCCATCGGGTCTTCCCCTTTTTCTTCTTTCAACTTTATTAAAATTTTAAAGAAAAGGTCAGTTAGTTTAATATAAAAAGATTAAAGTGATAATATTATCATTTTATAATGAATTTTTACTTTATCATTTTGTTAATATTATAAAAAAGGATTTTTTTCGGGGGGGGGGGGGTGGGTTTATAATTAAGAAACGCGCACCAACAACGTGGAAAAGATATTTTGTTTTAAATTGAAATGAACACACCCCCATTCCACTTCGCCTCCCCCCAAAAAAAACGTTTTTAAATAAATATAATTTTTTTTAAGGGTTACCCGGACCGAGAGGAAGAACGGGAAAACC